TTATTAGCATTTCTACTCATAATGTAGTAAAAACACATAAATAATAATCCTTCAAAATGACAGTAGAACCGGCACAAATATGATCTAGGACTTAAATGTACTAACTTTTAACACCAGAGCAGGCGTGGCATATTCTGAGAATGATCAGGAACACTAACTGGTTCCAGTTGGATGACTGGAGGATGATGGGATGATAAAAGATCATGGCGAGGAAATGATGATCTGACGAACAGGTGAGCGGACCTTCCTTACATGGGAAGTCCTGATGTCACGTTAAGAAGGGGATGCTGCAGACCCGCAGATTCACGCCTGCAGCAGCGAATCTGGTGTGATCTCCAGCCTGATCACCACTTCCTCGTTCCTCGCTGCCCCCGATACACTTAAGCATCCGCCCCTTAGCTGATGACAGCTTCAACACACCTCGCTGCTTAATGATAGTAATGCATGCGATGTTTAGACAGACTCGTCTCAGAAACATATAACTCCCCGACAGAATTTTTTAGAACATCATCAGAAAAGTTTCAGAGTGTTTCTGTTTTAACTTAAACTTCCGTTTTCAACTGTAAGACACGTTGTCTGTGATTGTTTACAGAGTAGTGAGAACACGGAGCGTTCTCCCAGCGGCAGCCAGGTGCCTCTCGTTTGTCTGACTACTTTCATAAACTACTGTTAGGGCACAGAATTATTCTGTCTGGTGCTTTCAGCGCTGCACAGATGTTACATAAATGGTAAAAATATAGCTTACCGCAACTTTTGTAAAGTTTCCAAGTGCCACCGGGCAGCTGCAGCAGAGACGATCTCTGAAAAATGTCCGCGACACGGACTCCGTTGTTGTCTGGAAGTTTTTTTTTTCCAAGTTAAGAAAAGAGGCGGACGTGTTTCCTAAATCCTGCATCAGTCCAAGCAAGGCAGCTTCTTTCCGTTTTTATTCAGTTTTAGTAGCCACTAGCACTGTGCATTGTTGTGTGCGTCAGTGATATTCGGTCTACGAGGAAGTCGTGCAATGACAAAGGTTCCGCCGTGCTTGAAATGAAAGCTGCGATTAAATGCGTAAATTTTTTTAACGCGTTATTTTTTTCTAATTAATTAATCGTAATTAACCGTTAAAGACCCAGCCCTAATTTTTACTATTGTTTGAATGACGGCCAAGTAATTTATTTAAGTGTTGCCAGATGATTTTACCATTACCTTTGGCTCTTTCAATTATATTTATAAAAAAAAATTTGCTTTGGCCTGTCTCAAAGTTCTTGTTACTTTGTTCCGCACTGAAGTGAATCTCTGTCTATCCTGAGTTAGACCTGTCTTCAGGAACTGTTTTAATAATTGATCTCTTGTTTCCATTAAGTTCTTGCACTCTTTGTTTAACCAGGGCAAATTAGATGCTGTCTTTCTTTTTTGTCGACCTCTTATGGAGTATGTTGATATGACATCTTTGACCATGTCAGTGAAGTGACTGCTGCAGAATTGTGGATCATCACTACACAATAAAGGCTCCCAGTTAACTGATGCTAATGCTTCTGCTACATTTTGTCGCTGACTTCTTGGTATAAATTCATAAAAGGATCTCCCATTAGATGAACTTTGAAAGTGATTCTTAACCCGTGATTTTATATGTTTTCTAGAAAATAATATAAAATTGTGGTCTGAAATACTAGTGATAAAATGATAAGATTTAATAATTCGCTCGGGCTTATTACTGAAAACCAGATCTATTTTAGTTTTAGAGTGTCTCGTTATTCTTGTGGGTTGTTTGATGTGTTGGGTAAAGTTCAGAGTCTCCATTATGTCCTTGAGAGTTTTTCTGTCCTTTTCACAGTCCCAGTCGACGTTGAAATCTCCCATTATAATTATTTCATGACTTATTATTTATAGTATGATATTTAAGTAGTATCTGTAGTTGTTCGTAAAAAACATTCTTTGCGGAAGGAGGGCGATATAAACAGATCAACGTAAATGACATTTCTGGGGAAAGAGTGATTTTAACAGAAATATGTTCCATTTCGACGTCTATCGGTGAACTAAGTAAGGAGCAATCCAGGTGTTTTTTTTTTTACATACACAAGTATTCCTCCTCCTCTTGTTCCAATTCTATCCCTTCTGAATACTGTGTACTCTGGAAAGACAACGGCAGACTCAGGAGAAGAACTCGTGAGCCAAGATTCAGAGACACCCAAAATAGAAATAATGGAATTGCTTAGAATATGTTCCATTTGCTCATGCTTTGGTAACATACTGCGAATGTTCATGTGTCCACATAGAAGCCCTTTTGGTTTATTATTAGTGTCCCAGATTACTTTAGCCTTGTGACAAACCTCGTCCCCTCGGTCCATCGTCTCATCTCTACCTGAGCCTGTTGTCCCCACTACCAAGGATTCAGCACCAGAAACGGATTGCTCGCTCTCTCCAGCGCCCCAGCACCAGTTCAGGACCTCGGAGAGAGGCACGCCAGAGAAGAGCGCAGCTGATCTGAATCAGCGATGAAGCAGCTCCCAGGACTTTAAAAGAGGAGCGAAGCAGACAGTCGAGAGATCCAGGATTAGTCTGTGATTCTCCCGAGCTCATTGACACTTCTTGCTAAGGCTAAATCTGTCCGGTATTGTTTATGGTTGTTTCTACGGAGATCCAGAAATAGTCTGAATTTCTCCTGAGCTCTGTTTACACTCACTGCTACGGCTAACTTTTAAGGTATTTGCTAAGGGTTTGTCAATAGGGATTTGGCTTAATTATCCTCATTAGAAGGATTTATCTGACAGAGCATCAGTTTACTTAGGTTGGTGGCTTTTATCCCCATTGGACTTTTGAGTCGGGGATATTTTCAGTAAGGTGGTTGTGATTTGCATTTGACAGAAAGCCATTTTCATAAGCCGTTATTGCTTATGTTTTCAGTTTCCACCTTTGTTAATCACCGTTATCATTAAGCCCTATTTTGCCGTTCAGACACGGACACCCCTTTGTTAATAAATCCTTTTGGTTTTACTCTCACCACCTCGTCATTTATCCACACTCACTCTCGTACACCTATTTTCCTGTGTTAGTCCCCTCATCCTCCTACACCTTCAGGAAGGGACGTAACAAGCCTGATTAAATGTCTTGCAGATCCTTGTTCCTCTGTAACTTTTAATGGCAGGATCTCTTGTCCTTTTGTTGACAGTGCTATAAGCATTTAATGATGAGAAACCCTTTACCGGAGACTGTACAGCAGACGGGGGCCCATGCAGCCGTGTTGGGGGCCAATATAATTACTAATGTGTGTTTTTTATTCGTTTATTTAGCCAGTGTGCATCCATTTGTGAGCAGAGTTTCAACTAAAATGCTTTTTAGGAACGACCAAATTCAAAGAACTTTTAGAGACATAAATATTTTTCAGAAAATAAACATTACAACTAAAATATAAACAAATTAAATGTTTCAGCTGGATAAATAGATTGCTGCCGACCCCACCGACAGTCGAACCAGCATCAGCAGAGGGGAAGGCAAAATTGAAGTCAGACGATCTTGCCACTGGACTACCACAACCCATTCAATAGCCTTAAATGCTGTTGTAGGCCATTTTTGTTGGAGCGGCTGTGGGCAGATATTCGCTAAAAGAAACCTTTTCATTTTGGGATATATTCAGGCTTTATCATGTAGCAAGTAATATTTATCTTGTTTAACTGGAGCATAGAAATTTTAAACTAGTAACAGCCGTAATTCATGTGGGTCAGGTTAGTTTGCGATAAAGTTGAAAAACAAAAACAGAAGAAGTCAGTGGGCTAGGCGGAGTTTGCGTGAATGGGCGGGGCTGACTCTGGTGCAGCTCCGCCTTTGTAGTTCTGCAGTGAGCACCCTCAAAAGGGGACCCTCCTTGGGTCAGCGAGTTCAGCTTTTATCCTGAAAGGAACCGTTGCTTGTTTGGTAAAAACAACAGATTTTTCTCAGCTTGATGGTTCTCAGCTTAAAAAGTGAAGTACAGATGGCCGGTCCAATACTTCGCTCAGCATGCGGTAAACTCAGTGAGATCTTGAGAACTGAACTTAAGATGGCGTTGGAACTGTTTTATTAATCTGGATGTTTTTGATTCTGGTCGAATCAAAGCTGACAGATTTATAAACACCACAGAGACTCTGCCACGCTTCAGACTAGGAAGGTTCTGATTGGATCAGCAACAGCAATGTGTCATGTGATTATTTACCTTACGTGTGTCAGTGTGTCTAGTGAACTAGATTAAGTCATATTACTTACTTAAACATATTAATCATAACATTGTGATTTCACAGATCGGTCACATTGTATTATTGACTAACAGTTGTTTTCATTAGCTTTATTAAAAATGGAGTTCTTTGATTTAAAGACCAAGTCACCCCCAAATCAACTTTTTTTTGCTGATAAACTAAATAAACGAGTGTCTAATCGTGCTGCAGACACGTGTCGTCAATAATTTGGCACTTCAGTGCATCTTAGTTCAAATTTAAATATTCTGCCTAAAACTGTCAGTGTTGCGCCGTCGTCAGGTAAAAACTATGCACTGTATTTGACTTTAAATCTGCCACCGCTATTGGCTAAGAGGTATGCTATGATGTAAACTGGTACATTATGATGTCACAATGCTGTCGTGAACCTGTGTGTGTGTGTTTGTTAGCGGCACCGCCCTCCCGGTCTGCCAGGCAACAGCATTTGTTGCATTTTTCAAACATGAAGTGGGAGTGGAGTTAGACTCTGGTAGGGGGTGACTTACTCTTTAATAAAAGAAAAGAGTCTTCATCTTCTTTCTTCTTTTGCTGGAAAGTAAACAATTTAGAAGCAAATGCATGACCTTGAGGCTGTCTCATGCACTCGGGCGCTGTGTCAGAGGCAGCTGTGGGGAGAGGTTAAATAACCTTGAGGAATAGCTCCTTCATCACATTACAGTATCCAAGCTAATTTGCTCCAGTTTCAGATTTGTCACGCAAACCTCCACTGCACCTCAGTGAAGTTGGGATTTGAACCGGCAACCTTTTCCACGAATAAGACAAGAGACAGAGTTCAGTAAAAGTGTGAAAATATTATTTCATTCGTCTGTCAAACACACAGTGAAAAAAAATATTCATCAATCATTAAAATGATAACAGACCGAAGCCGCTTCTAAATGAACGTGAAAGCTGGTTTCAGGAGAGACCCGTTGAACCGTGCAGAGCGTCGCTTACAGGCGTCGTCTTTCTGGTAGCTAGGGTGGAGTTAGGGTTATAGATAAATACTGAGCCAGGGTATCCGCGGGTCCTTAAAAAGTCTTAAAAAGTCTTAAATTTGCTTTTCCAAATTCAAGGCCTTGAAAATCCTTAAAAATGACAAATAATCCTTAAATACAGTTTCCAAAGGTCTTAAATTACCAAAGACCCAAAAAACAAGATTATTTTATTTCTATAAACATTTTCGTGAATTTCTAGTTAGTGTTCAGCATTTTTTGTGTATGATGTTGGCGTAAGCGGAACCGTACACATTCAGTTGGTTATGAAAGGGGGCTGTTTTTAGATGAGCACATTAGCTGGTTAAGCTAGTGGGAGTTTGCGCCATGGGGAAGTGCAAGTTTAATGGTAACTGGATGGCTAATCCCACGTTCACGACGTGGTTAGCACCGGCCCCAGGCAATAGCTGGAAATTATATCTTATTTAATTTTAAAAATAGCTTAAATTTGGTCAAAGTGGCCTTAAAAAAGGTCTTAAAAAGTCTTAAATTTGGCTCCCTTAAACCTGCAGATACCCTGTGAGCCTAAATCTTGGTACCAAAACAAAATCTACAGAAAATACAAAAATGAGCCAAAAGTGCAAATTTGGTTTGGAACAGACAGACAGGATTATTTGTGGTTTTTACATGATATTTGAGAACGTTATCCCTGCTCTGAATCTAAATGTGAGATTAAAACATTTAACAGTCAAAATCGTTCATGTCATGATAAAACTCAAATCATGAGATTTCTGAGCATAAAGGTTTTAATTACTTATTTTATTGTTTGTTTATGTTTTAAAATTCACCCTAATTAAATCATTCTAATTCTAACGAGTTCACTGTAAAACCAAATGTTGAAAATAATCAATTATATTGAGTAAATGAAACTCATAATTTTAACATTGTTTTTAGAACTCAAATGTGTTTAATTAGTTCAACTTTTTCATCGTTAAGAGCAACGTGTTCCTCTGGTGTCCGCGAGGGCACACGGTGGTTAGCGTTCCTCCGATGTCCGTCACAGCGGTGGGTGGGTAGTGAGTGGGTGCGCGTTACCCACTTCTGGGGACGTTTGTTATTTGCAATTTCATTAACTCAAATTTTTTTATGTAATCAGTTTCATCCAAAATTTTGAGTTATCAACTTATCGGGTTTTACAGTGAAAGTATTTCTGATCTTTTACAACCTTCCGTTACATTCACTAAAAAGGAGCTTTTTAAATCGTAATAATCAGAATCAAAAATATCCCTTCAGTGTTTTAAAAATATGATGGAAAAACAGGATTTATTAAGTAAAGCATAGAAATAATTATTGAAAATTCACACAAGTTGTTAACTCTCCAACGCTAATGGTAACAGTTACCCCAAAAATCCACCATTTCCGCTCCGGCACGAACTCCGCAGCAAAAACGGTCCCGTTGTAGTCAATCAGAACTGTTCCACTACTGCGGCCGTGCGCCGCCCGCTGTTTCGCCATCCGGCAAAAATAGGATCGATCCTATTTTTGCCGGACGCCGGAGCACCTCTGCAGTCAATGGACAGAAATCACAACCGCCCAACAGGAAAGGGAGCAAGCACAGTTTACGATATTTCACAATAAATCGATAAACAAAAAGCGTTTTTTTTGTTTCATATGCACAGGTTTAACAACTTTTAACAACTATCAATGGTGGTTGAACTTTAAATGCACAAAAATAAGCCATAAATACAGTTTCTACTATCAAAGTAGTCACACTTTGTTGATCCAAACACTGCTGATCTCTCAGCACAAATGATGGGCAGATTAAACAGTTCATTTCGATGCTTCTCCCACACAACGGGTGTTTGGATCTAACTTCCGCGTTTATTGCTCGGACTGTATCGCAAGATCTCGAAAATCCCGCGCATGCCTGTTTACGCACCTCAGGTCTCCGCACCGGAGCGGAGCCGTTGGAGCGGGTGTAGTATACCGTAAATCCTCTAATACAGGCCCGGGCCTGTATTTGACTCAAGCTCATCAAGCTCCAGGCCTTTATTGGAAGGAGGGCCAGTATTAGAGGATTTACGGTAATTTGAGTTCGGAAGCGAGCAGCAGCGGAAAGCGGGGGCGGAGCGGAGATGGTGGAATTTTGGGGTCAGGAGCATGTTCGCAAAGGTGTGTGTGTGTGCGTGATTTGTGTGTGTGTGTGCGTGCGTGCGTGCGTGCGTGTACTACTTAAATCAGTTAAATTGTTTTGACTCTAGTTAATATTAATATTTTTCTTTAACTGAAACAGAATAAAACAATTTTTTTAAACTAAGACTTAAAGTTTAGCTCGTTAGCGTTGATATGTCCGAGCACGGCGCCACATTAGTATATTTAATCTTTTGTGTTTTTAAATCATTTATAAAATCAGATATAACTAATGTGACTTTCATTAATCCACTTTATGACCGATTATTTAATATACTTTCAGCTAAACATATGATGCTGTTAGGTTTTTATAGTTTTCATTATGTTTTCACACTTTGATCCTGAAGCAGAGTGGCGCGTTCCTTAAACACTACGGAAACACTCGCTGAAGTTCAGCCGTTCGGTCACATCCTGATTGGACTGTTTGTTTGTTTGTTTGTTTGTGTGCAACATAAAACAAAATGCTTCCATTTGTAATTAAATCTCATCTAAATGAGCAAAAACAAAAATGCATCTATTAACCCAGTTTGGTCTTAAATTCAAAGTTATAACACCAGAAGAATAAAATACGAGATTAAGCACAGTGTGTAATATTTTTACTTGTTTACTAATTCTGTGTAGAAGTTCACAAACGCGTACTTCTTCATTAATAATTCTCACCAACGACTAATCTAAATATTTCCATTAGCTTGAAAGTTTACCTTTTTATATACATAAACGGTGGTCGGCGCTCCATAATCATGCACCCTCTTGAAAAACTGTAGCTGTTAGGGACATATAAGATATAATGCTCCGCGTTTCACGTTTGCGCTTTGACATGAAGTTCTCCTTCCTTTAATCGTTGTGCAGGAGTGGCGCTGGTTCTCTCTGTGGCAGCTGTGCTGGTTTGGGGAAATTCTGCTCCTTCAGCCTCTCGTTGCTTGCCTTGCTCTAACCACGTGTGATCGCAGCATTATAAGTATAACTGTGGCGGTGCGTGCACGGCCGCGGGGGAGAGGGAGACGCGCATCGCGGCAGATGCAGGCGATGCAGCAGACGTGTTTGACGTGTTAGATATGGCAGAAGCAGCAGCACTGGAGCAAGACAGCAGCTGCAAAAGACCAGTTCTACATATTAACAGGACATGTCCAGAGGGCTCTCTAATCCCTGAGAGAGGCTGGCTGCAGGAAACAGCAGAAACAGTAAATGAAAGCTGGTGTGGGGTGCGTTCCATTGCCTTTTTGATGTGTGTGGGCTACCATAGATGCAATACCTACTCTGAACTGAGTGGCGCTAGAGTCAAATATTTTTACACACTGTGGCTTTAAAGAAAATGAGTCTGAGTTCAGTGATTCTTAGAGTTTGGTTTTTAAAACAATAAAACTTTTGTTTTTCTGCAGGCCAGCTTCATTCTAACAAACATCCAACGTGCAGGAGATCAATAACCAGGTTTAAATGCTCAACAGGACTAGTTCAGAAAAGATTCAACTTCATCACTTTCTAAAAACTCTCAGGTGTATTTTATTGAACTTGTTTCTGGGTTTCCACCTAAAGCTTCGGCTTAGACCTGCAGAAGCTGGAGATCAACCAGCTCTCTGTAATTCTCCAGAAGCATCTCAGATGGTTCCTCTGATCTACACTCTGAAGCTCTGAGATCCGTAAGAACCCAGAAAACTAAAGATAGTTTAGCTCCTAACTCTATAACTTGGAAACTATTATTTGTTTGCGAGTGTGTAGAGGAAACAGGAGCCATGATGAATCTAACACACGTGTTTGATATGACACCATGAATGAACCGGACCTCACTGGAAGCATACGTCCATCAGATGTCTAATTAACCATTCCTTTCATTAATGCTCATCTAAAAGCCTCTGGAGGGTCATCAGTCTGGGAATCGTTGGACGTGAAGCTCCAGAGACGTCATGTCTCCACATGGAGAAGTTGGATGTGTTCACACTCAGACAAATGCTTTAAATGTCTGTTGTCATTACTGATTTTATAGAGATACAATTTGAATGAATACTTTTTTTAACCTCTGGATTTATGTGAATGAGGTTCCACCGATCTCAGACAGCTAGAGGAACACAGGCTGGAAACAACCAGCTGTTCTGGTTGCCATGGAGATCAGCTGGTTCCAGGTTTGATCTGGTGGGCGTGTTCGGGTTAAAGCAGAACTTTGATGGGATGTTGGGTCAGACTGTCCAGCTTAGTGCAATCGGTTTTCAGCTGGTTGAGTCCAGTTCATCAGCTGTGTCCGGTACCAAAACCAGATCAGTCCGGTCTGCTTACTGGCCCGACGGGTCGGCGTCCTGGTCTAAGCAGCAATGCAGTGGTTCAGTCTGCGGGACATGACGTAGCCTCTCCTGCAGACACAGCGGAAGGATCCTTCCGTGTTGACGCAGCGAGCGTTCACACACGGAAAGGCCACGCTGAAGCCGTCCTCACACTCGTTTATATCTGCAGACATGCCAACAGGAAGCAGCTGAGGGTTAAACACTGATGTCACACGCCTCCAAAATATGGTTAATAATAAAAATAAACGTTATTGTGTTTGGCTTGCAGTCTTGATGTGGAGGGGCAACAGCTGAAGGGGACCCTGGAGAGCTGATGGGGGAGGGACCTGCCAGCACTCCCTACTTTCTGGGAATAATGTGCCTTCTCGGGATGCACCGATGTCAAAACTTAGGCCGATATCCATATTAATACTGCTGTCATGGCCGACAACCCATATGTTTTCCTCCACTTTTAACGTTGTGTAACAGTGACCACACCACCTATTTCACTGTGGTGTGGTCCACTTTTGTCATGGTCTGCGTCTCCCTCTATAGGTTCAGCTTTTCATTTAATTAGTCTCTTTCTGTTTTGAGCTCATTATGGTTTTATGACTTTATCTTGTTTGGATCTATGTGAAGCACTTTGCGATTCTCTGTCTGTGACACGTGCTGTATGAATACCACGTACTTACTACCTACATTGCTTCTCTGCTTCAGCTAAAATCCCCTCAGTCCTGTCACATGACCAACCCCTCCCCCTCCTGAAATACATACGCAAACGGCGACATTTTAAACACTTTGGCGTTAGCATCAGCCCCTGTTGACCTGTGGGACAGTCCGATACCGATGAGGACGCAGCTACTTCACGCGGCCCGACCGCTTTTGCACCCAAACCTCCAAATGCTCGTCTTGTAAACGAGTCGCCAGCAAGCCAAAGAGTTCTCCACAAATATAAAATACTGGAGATTTGTCTGCTTACCAACACAGGTCATGGAGGTCATGTCCAGCTCGTATCCATGGTAACAGTCACAGGTGTAACCTTCAGCAACGCGAATACACCTGCCGTTCTCACAGCCGTGCAGAATCCCACAATCCTCCGCTGCATTCAGGCCGGCGTAGGGCTCGTAGCGCCCTGAGGGGGAACACCAACGGGGAGGAGAAGACAGGAGAAGTTTTAAAGCTTAGTCGGGAGTTCTTGTTTTACTTCTGAGACGCTGAACCTTTGGTGACCTTGGTGTTTGAGGGATTTTGGTTGAATTATTTGCTGTTTATTGAGATAAACTCACTCTCGTACACCCGCCGTTGTGCTCCTCCTCCTCTGCTCCTGTCACTGAAGGGAGGAAACGCCGGGCCTGGCCTCCACGCCCTGGCCTCCTCCTCCTCTTCCTCCTCCTCCATGTAGGGAGATCCCGGCAGTGGAGCCAGGTTCAGAGAAGGGAGGTCGGGCTGGGATGGAGGAAGAGGTCGAGCCCCAAACCCGATCTCAGATCGAGGGTCGGGAGGGAGGCGAAAGGATGGGGTCCTGGGTGGAGACCCGTCGGGGGAGCCATAGTCTCCTTCAGCAAAGTAACTGGTGCTGACACAAAAAGACACGTTTACTGCTGCAGAGCATTTAAAAACCAAAAACGATTAAGTGAGTCTTCTCACCTGTACTCAGAGCCCCGATAGGTGTCCTCCGGCAGACCCAAGGAGGTCTGGGCCCTCCCCCCGAAGCTGGACCTGCTGCCTCCTGCCTGAGCGTAGTCATCATAGTCAGAACGACTGAAATCTCTGCTGGGAGAGAAGAGATCCGTCCCGTACGGAGGCCCTGAGGAGACGAAGGTCTGGGTAACATTTACTCGTAAACACGGGAATCCCGTGAGTTAGCTGCTCGCACCTCCTCGTCCCGCTCCTGGTTCTGATCCAGCTGGGTCAGGAAACCTCTCGGAGAAACGAGGAGGAGAAAGCGAGCTGCACAAGGAGGCGTAGTCCTCTGCAGGGAAACAGCAAAATAAAATCTATGACTGCAAAAACAAAATTATGAATACAAGTGGATGAAAGTTTCCTCTTCAGGACGGCTGGGCTCAGCCTCAGAGATGGGGGGGGGGCTCAGAGTTGAGCTGCTGCTCTTCCACGATAAGAGGAGACCGCTGAGAAAGTTCGGGCACGTCTCTCTGGAAGGAGACCCCTGGGGCTGACCCATGACAGGCTGAAGGGTCAAGAAGTCCTTAGGGACCTACAGGAGGAGGAAGTGGATGGAGCAGGAACGCCCAGGACCTCCTGATACGGTGGCTGAGCCGGGCAAAATGGTGGAGATCATCAGACACATCATCTGGTCCTCAGCAGGATTTAAATCGTGTGACAACCACAGATCATGTCGCTTAACACAAATCAAACTATAAGAACTGTGAGTTGGTTTCCTGTCGTGTTTTTTATTGTTTTACCTGAGTCAGTGGGGGGGCAAAGGGCGCAGCCCATCCCCCAGCCCTCGCCGTATAAACAGCAACAGTCCACGAAGGTGACCTGAGCGCCGAGAAGAGGACTCTGACACAGCAGGTCGGCGGTAACGTGCTGCCAGCACACAGACAGGTTCTCATCTGGAACACATAAACAAAACAAACATCATAAACAAGACAACACCTCTATTAGACGACACTTTCATTATTTTGTGACCTCAGTCTGATCTCTGCCAGTTGTTAAACTTTAAATCCAAAGGTCCTCCTGACCACCACCTGCAGGCTACAGGAGGACAGGACTCTTACCCACAGTGAGATGGGAGGCGTTGACACAGATCCTCTGAGTGTCATCGAGCACCAGAGGAGGAGGACAGCTGCAGTAGTACGAACCGAGTGTGTTCACACAGACACCTCCTACACAGCTCTCCTCTTCACACTCATCGTGATCTGCATCAAAAAGAAGTCACTCAATGAAAAATTAAA